GGGGGAATCCATCCACGTATTGTATGTATTACACATAATTTTGTTTTCAAAGTTAGGTGGTATGATATTTATTTACATAATTTACAAATTTACAATACAATCTTGTTAAAACAACCACCTTTGTATTATAATAAACGAATATATAGTATCGAAGATTTCACAAGAACTAGGATGTCATTCACATTTTATATAGCAGAATTACATTTAAAACAACTGTTGCACTTTGTAGAAACTTTTGATCACTATCGAAGACTTCAAAAGAACTAAACTACCCCGTTCACGTCGGATGATGGAGCAGTTAGTCTCACTATTGTCTTTGAGGTTCATTCTACGCTCGCCACCCTCATTCGCACTTATTCCTTATCTGATCCTCCACCCAATTCCAATTCCAATTCCAATTCCAATTCTACTAAAGTTGAGGATTTTAGGCCTCCCAATGCAACTGCTATAACTAACAATCAGTTGGTCAATTATGAATCTGAGAAGATAAGATGATGAGTATATAAATCAAATCGTTATTTTATAATAAAATAAAAATTAAATGTCTCAATAATTTAAAATTTAACAAAAAAACATATTAATGATTAATTATTCCAAAAAATTATTATTTTTAAAATTTAAGAAACATTTCATTACAATGCGAATAGTTCAGAGAAAAAAAGTATAATTTGTCTTAAAATTAATCATGAATGATGATAAGCAGATGCGTGGACTTCAATAAATAATAAAATAAAATAAAAAGGACAAAAACACGGAAGGCGGAAGGAAAGAAAACGAAAGAGGGGGAAATAGGGAGAGAAGCGTGATGGTCGGGTAAAGATTGGAATCGGAGATGAGAAGAAGAAGGAAAGCTTCTTTCTTGGTCTTCGTCGTCTTCTTCTTCTTCTTCTTCTGATTCCATCGCATTCTCATCAGGTCTCTAATTATTCCACTTTCTCTCCCTATCAAATCAAAAACTATGATCAGGAAACGCCGACGTTTCGCAATATTAGTGTTATTATCATTCTTCTTCTTCTTCTTCTTCTTGAACGACGGCGTAGCAGCAGCCATATCAAACTCAAAGGATTGGTATTTGAAAGGCTATGGCTTCCTAACAGCAACAGTACCAGTCTCAATCTCTCCCGCTCGTCGCTCTCTCATGTCCCTTTCTCCGTCAGTTCCATTTCATTTCCCCCCTTCTCTCTTTCTTTTCTTTTATTATTTATTATTTTTTCTTGAGTAATTATGATGTAATATTGATTAACTAATTTCATTGCTGCTGATCGAAAATTCAATGGAAACAGTCCTCCTCCTCCTCCGCAGAGCAGGACGGCACTGGTAGCGGCGGCTGATGGGACGATCCATTGGGTGGATAATGTAACCATGAGGGTAAAATGGTCTTTCTCTTCTGGACCCCCCATCCACTCCTCTTACCAGTCTCCCGACTTGCTTCTCCAACCCAACAACTTCAACTCCTCCTTCCTCTTCGTTGACTCCGGCGATGACTGGGACTTGTACCTCCACACCCTCCACACCCAAGTGGTATGTATCTGTCTATGTATTCTAATTTGTATGGATTTTGTTTTCATATATGATATTTATTTATAATTTCACCACACTATTATATGGATACTATAGTAGAGTATGTTATTATAGTCTAATAATAGAATTTAGTCGAGTCCATCCACATTTTATATAGTAGAATTACATTGTGAATAACTGTTGCACTTGTAGAAACTCCCGATCACTATCGAAGACCTCGTAAGAACTACTCCGTTCACGTCGGAATATGGAGCAGTTATTCTTGGATCCAAGACCACTACTGTCTTTGAGGTTGATCCTCTGCTCGGCACCCTCATTCGCACTTATTCCTTATCTGATCCTCCACCCAATTCCAATTCCAAATATACTGAAGTTGACGATTTTAGGCCTCCCAATGCAACTGCTACAACTAACAATCAGTTGGTTAATTCCGAATCTACAAACCAAAGCCCTGCAAAGATGCGTCTCCAATTCATGAGGACAGATTATATGCTGCAAGGATTTGCCCCTGATTCAGATGAGGTGTTGTGGAATATGACCATCGCCGAGATTGGAGCTGCTTTGCTTTGTCAAGATGTTGACGATCCACCTACCACCGCCGATATTGCTTTACCATTGTCCTGTCAATCTAAAATGTTCATCTTTCGCCTCCGAAATCATGTCTTGCTGGAATCGATCGCCGCTGAAGGAGGAGGAGAAGAAGAACTACTACCTGCAGTAGTTCATGATCAACAACACACTATGCTCATGATGCCTTCTTCTCAGGGCGAAAAGCATTCAGATGTTCATCAAGATCATAAGAAGATGCTGCTGGGACTTGCATCCAAACCTATGCTTAATCCCCAAGCCAAGAAAGCAAATGTTCATCAATATGACAAGAAAGAGAGCGTGCTTTCTCTGCCCCCCGCGAAAACTAGTAACGATTCAGGTCTCCAAGATACGCAGAACAACAGAATTCATTGGAACAATGTGTTTAGCAATTTTTTTGGTTGGTCATCCGCTCTCGCTTTGTTAATTGGCATTCTCATGGGTGTCGTTGTCCACCGCTATGCACCACTGATTAAAGGTCTGTTACATGAGCAGCCAAGAGATTCTACTGAAGCTTCACCTTCGCCTTCCAACAAAATGAAAAATCAACAGTCGGAGAATAATAATGACATTGTTGAGAATTTGGATGCTCTTGCAAACAGTGAGAGCGATGACAAAACATGGTTAGACCTAAGTAAGCTCTTTGATTGTGGTGCTGATGAGCGGAGGATCGGTAAACTTGTTGTCTCAAATAGAGAAATTGCAAAGGGGAGCAATGGTACTATTGTCCTCGAGGGAATTTATGAAGGTCGGCCAGTTGCTGTGAAACGCCTTGTCCAAGCTCATCATTTGGTGGCTTTCAAAGAAATTGAGAATCTTATAGCTTCTGATCGACATCCAAACATTGTCAGATGGTACGGGGTGGAACATGATCAGGATTTTGTTTATGTTTCGTTAGAACGTTGTACTTGCTCCTTGGATGATTTGGTTCAAATATATTCAGATTATTCTCAATATCCTGTATCCGGCAAGGACAATGCTACAATTGAGTATAGAGCCCACTTAGAGTCGGTGAAGAATGTCATGCCACATGTTAGTTTGTGGAAACTTGATGCCCGTCCATCGCCTCTATTGCTAAAATTGATGAGGTCAGTCGAGCTTTATTGATGTAATATGACATGATGTTAAGAGAATTATTTTTCTTTTGGTGTATCTTTAATTATTCAGTTTACTCGGGATGAGAATGAGCCTAACATCAGTTTAAGTTTCTCTCATAGTTGTACTTTCATCAGCAACTTAGCATAAGTAAATGTAGTCAATCTTTTGTTCCCTTTTCTCTTTCCTTTTTTTTTTTGTTTTGTTGTTGTTGCAAATGATTTAATCAATTCGCTGTGGTCAGTTTGCACTCTAGTTGGTTATATTTCTCATGACATCTAAAATCAGTTTTGCTAATTGTGTGGTTGGAGCAGTAATCAAGATCCTTTTTTAAAAGTCCCATTCTTGAGGATGAATTTTGTCTTTTCTGCTGCAGCAAAACAAATGGCATAGTTCGACAATGATAATATTTGCTCATGCATTACTTGATGATCCTTATACATGACCTTCGAATCTTTCTTTCAGTTTTTCAATGTGCCTTAGCTTATGCTTCAAAAGCTTGTGACAGCCAATCAGTTTGGCATAGGTGAAAGAAGTATCTTTTATATGTCATAGATAATGCTTTAGGTGTGGTTTAAGAAAGTCTCCGCATCCATATTTAATAGAAGGGTAAAATAATTACCCTTGTTCAGTCGTTTGATTTCTTTAGGTTTTATCTAATACATTTCCGTTTGGAATTTATGTGTCATCATTTTAACTTTCTTTTTCTATGTTGTTGTCTGTTCAACAGGGATGTTGTTTTTGGGCTTGTGCATTTGCATGAATTGGGGATTATTCACCGGGACTTAAAGCCTAAAAATGTTTTGATAACTAACGAAAGATCTTTATGTGCAAAGCTTTCCGATATGGGCATAAGCAAACGCCTTCTAGGGGATATGTCTTCCTTGGGTCACCATGCTACTGGCAAGTACCTCTGTTCCTAATTAACTCTGATACACATTCAGTTGTGCATTTTATAAATTGAGTTAGTTCCCACCTTAGTCTAGCTATATCGAATTACCTCAAGTATTTAGGATCTTACTTGTTTTCTGACTCTCAACTTTATTTTTAGTTGCAATTCTATCCTGTATCAGGTTTTTGGTTCCTAATTGTGCTGAAAATCCCATCTATAAATACGCTTATTCAGTGTTGATATAGTGGAGTCTCAGATAATTATGGATTAAACGTATTATTTTCCTTCCATCCAGCTTCTTCCTTTGTCTCCCAACTTCTTTATAGCTGCCTGTTTCCTTCTTTGTCTGTTATCAAACCTAATCTCCAATCAGCAGAGAAAATCCAACATTGGCCATGATAGAATTTGAAACCTGAACGTAGAGTGGGACCATCTTTATGTCCACTGTGAATTGATGCTTGCAAATATTTTTCTTCTAAAATAAGTGGATAAGATATGAAAAGAAGAAGAAAAAAAAAAAAAAAAGCCTGTTTGAAACCCAGGCTAAGAAATCTGCATCAGGTACAATTGAATTTTAGAAACCTAGTTGGCTTGATGTTTGCAAGTACTTGTTTATTTCTGATCATATGCATGACTTAATTGTAGGCTCTGGCAGTTCCGGTTGGCAAGCACCTGAGCAACTTCTTCATGGACGGCAAACACGGGCCGTGGATTTGTTTAGTTTAGGTTGTGTTCTCTTTTTCTGCATAACTGGTGGTAGACATCCTTTCGGGGACCGTCTTGAGCGTGATATAAATATTGTGAAGAACCAGATGGACCTCTTCTTGCTGGAGGATATACCTGAAGCTATTGATCTTATTTCTCATTTGCTAAATCCCGACCCTGAATTGAGGTTAGATTATACTTTCTTTCAACTTGAGTTCTTAGTGTATATTCATTATAATTCATTATGCTAGTGTTTGATTTATGTAGCATTTGAATTAGATTCTTTTATTAGAAGACATCGTCTCTTAAAACTACAAGAGGGGAAGAACATTGTTCTACTTAACAGTTCCACTAGCAAAGTAGTTTTGTAGCCCATTGCACCCCATCTGAATATAATATGTCATTTTTGTATGTCATAACATTTCGATTTGCATCTGAAACCAAAAATCCTTGTGTTGACAACCATCAACCTAGGCAGGAATAGGATTGATATCTTCATGTTTGAGCTACCCTGGTGATTTTTTTATGTTAGATGCAAATATTATAAGCCCAATTAGTACAAGAATGAATCTTACTGTGAATTGGCCCCTCGGACTGTAGAGATATGAAAGAGTGAAATAATGTTGTGGCAATGGTTCATGTCGATCAGCATTGATAAAATAGATCCTTTTTAACCTTAACAGCAAATTGGTTTTTCGTATCTGTTTTAAACAATACATTGATAATGGAGAAAACCATGTTATCCTTGTCAGGCCAAAGGCATTGGAGGTGTTGCACCATCCTCTGTTCTGGAATTCAGAGACGAGGCTTTCATTTCTTCGCGACACTAGTGACAGAGTTGAACTAGAAGACAGAAAGAGTGGCTCCGCTTTTTTTAATGCGATTGAAAGTACTGCACCCATAGCTTTGGGTGCAAAATGGAATGAAAAGCTGGAACCAGTATTTATTGCCAATATTGGCCGTTACAGGCACTACAAGTATGATAGTGTCCGAGACTTGTTGCGAGTCATTCGAAACAAGTTGAACCATTACAGAGAACTTCCAAATGAAATTCAGGTCAATCATTTTCTTTTCTCACGTTAGACATGCATATTTAACTGTAATTCCATAGTATTCAGTATTTCACTGGTCTCAGTTCCTTCTACATTGCAGGAACTAGTAGGGCCAATTCCCGAAGGATTCGATGGCTATTTCACGAGTCGATTCCCAAAACTCTTAATTGAAGTATACAAAGTTATGAGTCGGAACTGTAAAGAAGAGGAATGCTTTCAGAAATATTTCAAAAGCAATGGGGAGTGACTAGTAGCTATGTTGGCCCATGTCTTGTTGCTTGGGATGATGTTGTTGGATGTTATTAATGCTATTGATATTCAACTAATTTATTAGCAGCAGGTTGTCTGTAAATGTAGATTTAGTTGTAATCATATTAATATTAACAATTACAAACTAAGTGCAAGCAATAAGTTTAAGGAAGATGGACCATCGATCATATTCATATTCAACTAAGTGTTTTCTTCTTTTCTTTTCTTTTCTGTCTCCTCAAAAAAGGAGCTCACCAAGAACAAACCGTTAAGCTTAAAAGAATGAGAAACAAAATAGAAAACCTGTGTTTTTAAGTATCAACTTATTGAATATATTTCTAAGAGAAGTGTCAGAATCTTATGTGGTCCGCGTGAATATTATTAGATTATATTAATTTGAATATTAAATTAAAGATAATAGCTTAATAAATAATAAAGTAAAATTTTATCGATCAGTTTTGGGAAGTTAAGTTTCCTAAATTACTAAATTAGTAGCATTTTGATGGAAAGTGCAATTTTTATTTTTAAGGAAGTTGGTTCTTTTTCCACCCCATAAATTGTGTTTTATTTCACCAAATATATGCTGGCGAACACCACGGCGTTTTATTTATATATTTATTTTTTGCGCTAAATATATTCTTTCTTTTTTTTTTTCCTATTATTAGTTAGCATTGAACAAAGCCCAAAAAGGTTGAATATTGAGCTCAAAAGTTGATGGGGGAAAGAGGCTAGAAAATATTTTAGCATTCATTGGTTCGTTCATATTAACACCAAAGGACGGTCCTTTGCCCCACTTCCCTCTATCTATTGAATATTTGATCTTCTTCTCTCTATTCTCTCGCTCTGGGGAAAAAAAAAAAAAACCGAAAGCCCATCTTCTCTTAACCTTCTCAATCAACAACTTTACAAATCAAAAGGGCAAAGTTTGCATCTTTGATTGGTTTCTGTTAGTGGGTTTGCTTCAGAGAGCGCAACAATGGCGGGAATAGCTATTGTCTTGGATCTGTTGAGGAAAAACCCATCTTTTTACACTTCTCATGCCGTTCATTCTTGTGGGTTTTTCTCCGCCCCTGCTGCTGCGGCTTCCCTCGCTGCCGGAATCCCTTTTGCCTACAAAGCTCTATTTGGGTACTCTCTCTCTCTCCACACACACACACGCGTATATTCATATCAATTTGTGTGTTTGTTGTGGTAGGTTTTGATAATATGGACTAATTAAGATTGATAATGGAAATCGATTCTGTGTTAGTTTGATTCTGTTTTGGTCTCGGCAAATTGTGAATGAGCAAGTACGAGGTGATTGGTGGTCAAAACTGGGAAAGCACCTTTTCCTTTGGCATCCATTTCCCATCAACTAGGAACCACCCTATTTTTGGGATTTTAATTTTCTACTTCAAAGTTGTAAAATTGATGGAAGCTATTGGCTTGGTCTTGGTTAAAAGTAACGGCATTTGACTTTCTTCCAGAGAGCATAAGCTGGGCAGTAATTAGATAGTGTTGCTCTTTTTTTTTTTTTTTTGGCTATATAAAAGTGGTTCCCTTTAATTCTATTTCTTTTTTATTATTTGTTTTGGAAGGTGTTTTTTTTTTTTCGGCTGAACTTAGACATTGTTGCAACAGTAATTTCAGGATACCGGTTGCTCATTGCGATGCTGGAACAACATGGTCCGAAGAATATGTTTCTAGTTTGCGAAGTGCGTCTGAGAGAATCTTTCAGAATGATGCAATTAAATACAGTGCTAAGGAGTACAAGATTGAGTTAAAGCCTCTATTTTCGGCTTTTGAGCTTAGGACGTTCGCTATGACAACTCTGAGATCATTTTTGCTGTTCTATTTACCTCTTCTAGAGCCCCGTTCGAATTTGGAAGAGGATGATGATGACTTTCTGCAGGACACCAATGAAGAACAGCATGTAGATTATGTTGCTCCATTCAAAAAATCTGTCAAACAAATCTGTCGTGAGGTGGATTGTTTTTACTTTCCTTATTATTGATTGTATCGAGATAAGGTTTTCCTGGTGCCCATCAATCATGCCCTTCAGTTCTAGATTGTCTTTAGATTTAGGCATTTAGCACTTGTGATGAATAGTTCTTTTGAGTTTTTGCATCTCTAGAGGTATCCTATATTCATATTATATTTCACAATATACTTTGTTTTGCCTGAGAAACCATGAAAAAGTGGATTTTTTTTTCATCACAGTTTTCTACAAAGGTTCATAACTCAACCAGGATCTTATGCAGATTTAGTTAACCCACTTATATTTTGCACTTTGTCATAGACTACTGTTGTGACCAGTAGAAGAATTTTGGAAAGAATGGCTGTCCACTATATTTCCCAGCGTATGGCATGGAAACTTTTAAAAGGTACTTGATTTCCCTACTTTGTTTTTCATTTTGTTTCCATTAATCTTTATACGAAGAACGAATGAGCGAATGGTTTGTTGCAAGAGTGATTATGGATGTGATTAAATTCTGCAGATGTTCCAAAATCAGCTACACGCAAGGCTACAAGAGGAATGCCATCATGTATTCTTCTTCAGAGTTAGCAGAACAACTTTCAGAGGTTACATTTTAATAAAACAGAATGCCTTCATTTTTGTTTTTTTGCTTAAGCTCTTAATCTTACAATGTTCCTATATTTTTGCTTAAGCAGGACACTTTCTAGGAGTTGCAGCATCATGGATCGTTCAAGTTTCCATTGAGATTTACCGATTCTTTCGTCGCATGTTACATTCTAAAGAAGAGGATGATGAGGTTGAAACAACTGAACAAGTCAAAAATCTGGGGAAGAAGATTTCAGCTACTACTGTCAGGTGCAGTGCATCACTAATTTTTGCATCTATCGGAGCAGGGATTGGTGCCACCCTATTTCGCCCTTCAGTTGGCCAATGGATTGGTAAGATTTTCTTTCTAAATGATGCTATCTTTATGGACCCTTTGGTTTACGAGTCTAAGCCAACCTTAATCTAAAATACACATCTTTATGCAGGTTCTGCCGTTGGTGATTTGGCAGGGCCTATTATTGTATCATCTTGCGTTCAGAGAGTCTTTCATCTCGAAATTTAGGTGCTAGAGTTGATTTTCCTGATATATTTTTGGCTTACTTCAAATTTGACTATTGTACTTCCCAAATTTTGAATCATTTTTATGATTGAATTTCCCAAAAAAGGAATCATAAGGGGATGAATCATTTCTAGCTGTAATTGACTTTAGCAGGTGTTGAAGAAGCCATTTTGATATTCATCAGAGTTTTCTCTTTATAGAGACGGTTGCAATTTATCATAGATAATTTTTTTTTCTTTTTTTTTTTCTCGTGTAACAATTTACGTGACTGATGGTAAATGAATAAATAGAAGCGACCTTGGTATAAACTACAACATATATTGAAGCCAACTTTACTACTGGTGTGATTTTCAAGGGGGGAAGAAAAGCCTCTTCTACTTGTGGTGGTCGGGAAACGAGTGACTTGTAAATCATAATGCACAGTTGGGATTTGTCTTGTTTGGTTAAAATGTATTTGCAAAAATAGTTGCGAAAGCTATAATTATCCAATTAGTGTCAACCCTTTGGAAAAGAGAAGAAGAGAGGAATAGAGAAAATCAAAAGAGGAGAAATTTGGGAATTTAGAGACAAAAAGAACAGTAGAATCAATTTCGAATAATCAATGTCACTAATGAATGTCCAAATGGAAAATATAACCACTATTTCTACTCATAGAGAAATGATAAACTAAACCTGATAATGAGATAAACTTAGTGAAATTTACGTGTCTTTTCACAATTCAAACTTTTTTGTTTATAGCAAAAAATATTGAATTGGAATTTTTGAAAGAGAAGACATTGTAGCAAAAAATATCTAGTTACAAAATGGACCAAAATGTTACAAGCATTCATAGCGTAATTTCCATTACTTTTCATAATGCACAAAAAGAGTAACAATATTACGTAGAACAAAGAAAAGGAAAGATCTGGCTGAGATACATATGAATGAGTTTTTAATGGTTATGTTATCGATGGGTACCATCAAATATAGAAACTTAAAGAAGAAGAGCCGCAACAGAAAGCTAGTATTTCACTTTTCTGTCTTTTTTCGTTTTTCTTACATGATTTTTAGACTCGAATAAAAGGATTAGAGCGACTGTAATTTAATTACTAGTTTATCCCTTTAAATAGTTATTACATAGATGAGGCTGGCAAAGGGAAAGGAAGTTATCATCAGCAAGCAAGGCTAGGCCGAGTAAAAGAGTACAATTAAGTAGAACTCTTAAACTCTAACATCTAAGTAGTTGACATTATTATTATTATTATTATTATTATTATTATTATTATTATTATTATTATTATTATTATCTTGATGAGCTATTCTATTAGAGGCTCTCTCAGTTCGCCTTCTCTTGGACTGGCTTGAAGACACTTCTTCCTTTTCGTTGAGGAAAACGAGAAAGGAACGGAGGCCTGCGGATTTAGCATTTCTAACGCAGTGCTTGGAGAACTGACGCAGCATTTTGATGAGATACAAAAGCAGTGCAATAAAGCAAGCCAGCCCACTGAGTAGGAAGAGTCCCCAAAAGCTTTTGATCTGAAGTCGGTCTACGTCTTGCTTTGCGCCTTCCGAGCTGCAGGCACCTCTCATTAGCCATTTGTCATGAATCCTCTGCAGAATCCCATTCTCTGACAGTTTCAAGATGGCCGTCGACATGTCGATTGCCAATGGCGAGTCCCTTGGAAAGGCCTAGTAATGAGGATCAAAATATGGATATAATAGAAAATTCAGAATGCTTAAAAATGATTACTAGACATGATGAAGGCTTATTATGTACTTACAAAGCCCCAGCCCATCTTGGTGAATTCCTGGCCAACAATACTAAATTCACACCGCGTAGAGAGGAAGAGCTCCATGTAAGCTCGCTCGTCCACAACCGCAGCAACACCACCACCGCTGGGACCATCCTTCAAGGCTTTCTCATATTCTTCCTGCGAGTTGAGAGGAACAAGCCTCGATCTGTGTATGTTGAGCTCGTCGGTTAAGTAATTTTCGGCAAACGAACCCTTTAGGAAACCTACAGGTTCACTGCTCGTCACTAAGCTCTCGATGCCTTTAACCGGAGAAGAAAGTTGTTCCACTGTGAGGATTGAGGTCAGGCTTGCAATGTAACTGGAGTTCAGCACAAGAACAACAAATAGCCATATGATCAGCACGAAGCGCGCTAGAGTGCTGCCGGTTTTTTCTCCTGCAGACATTAATAGTCATTAACCAATCCCGTCAAAATATAAAATCAAGTAACAATGATTATGCTTCTGTAGTTACTGGTGCTTTAATACTGTGTTCTAATTATGAGAAGAAGTCATTTGACCTCATCTAAGTAGATAACCTTCCATTTAGGATTAGGAATAATAAGCGTAATTAAACATGTTTTTCCCATACCTCTTGGTATTTGGGACCCTAAGCATAGTGATAGAGACTCCATTTAACTTAAACTTGATTTAGGCCAAAAGCAGACCTATATATTAAGCCATGCTTATTGAAAATTTGTCAAATTTTTTGAATAAATGAATTGAGTCACGTTAATACTATATAGCTAGAGAGAGTCAGCATGATTCTAACTTACTGTGGGAAAAGAACAAAGTTGAAAAGCTAAACCTGCAAATCCAAGAAAAAAAAAACATAATCAATTGGGATTGTAAAGATATAACCTCATCTTTAATGACATGAAATTAGTAATATGTTTCGAATTAAGGACTCACCACATGATAGTGACGACTTGTTTTCTAGGAGGGCCCCGAAAATCTTCGTTAGTCCTGCGCTCCAAGATCCAAACGACTGCTCCCACAATGAGGAAGAAGACACCAGTCACACACCACATCATGGGAGTGAAAGGTCTAAAAAAAGCCCAAGCACTTGAGTTGAGCTTTCTAACTGAGGCAACCACCACTAGCCCTGACTCTATGTATGGCTGCGTGAAATCCACTATCTTCGTACGGCTGGTCGTGATTGTGACATCGCCTACCACCGCATCGAATTCCTGCACGAAATTTTCAGGAAAATGATACGCGTCATGAAAAAAACAACTAAAATATAACACCTGTTAAGGTTTAAAAAAAGTTGGGAAGAAATACTATAGCTTTGCAGAATCTACAAAATTTTTAGGCGTATGTGTTCATGATATTCATGATAAAGTTTTTCATCACGTGTAACATTGCTGTATGTATAAAGCGTATTAGTTGTGTTCATGTTAACATGTTATAATTGACAGTACTTACACCCTTTGTGATCAAGCGCAGAAGCTCTGTGGTGGATGGATTGGTTCGGCCGTCCCCGTATGAGATAAACTTATATGGGACACCATATTGCAACTGCTCCAGTGCAGCAGTAAACACATCTATGCAATAGCCAGTGAACACATCAGAGCCCTCCGAACGCGACACGAATTCGCGATAACTAATTCTGTTTGGGACTCCGATTCTCAACCGCTTTCCATTGTTGGGGAAAACCCAACCACGAGGTCTCTGCGTTGTTTGTCCCGGCCATATGACACTGTACAGTCGTTGGCTTGACTTATAGCCATTGGGACGCCCTCTTCGGTGTTCCTCGGGACTCAGAATTGACAAGCTTAAGGAATTAGACCAGTAACCAATCCTCCGAATGCCTGTGCCAATCACGTTTATAACTTCATAGGCAGGATCAATGAGGTCCATAGCTGAGTTGAATGCGATTGGACCGGTCACGCCAGTTGTGTTGACATTCCTAATACTTTGAAGCAAGAGCTTGCCTCCGTCGGAGATGCTCATTGCATCAAGATTCATGTTCCCTCCGTGCAACTCGGCTAAGCTCAAGTCATTGGAGAAAGAGAAATTTCCTTTTTGATCGAAGAACGATTCGATGGCCCTGGCAAGAAGCCAAACCGAGTCATATGCATACAAACCGTACGTGTTTAGCCCAAAAGAGTCATTGCCCATTTTCCCATTACTTGTCAAGTTGTTGTTCCATTTGGAAAGAAATCTAGCTTTGAGGTCAGAATTCGGTGTGTGCATGCGCAAGGTAAGAACCCCTTGAAAATCATCTGCCTTCTGTGAAAGGATTGAAGAGTCTGTGTCCAAAATAGTAGACAGCCAATCAGTGGCAATCCACACATATCCTGTTTCCATCATCTGCAGATTCTTTGCCGCATCAAGTACTTCGAGACCCCAACTCGTATAGATATGCAGGATAAGAATCCGAGACTCCAAATAAGTGACCTTAATCAGTACATTGGTTATGTCTTCCTTGCTAGCTTTTGGGCTTAGAGGCGCTTTGTAGGAGATTTTACAGCGCTTCTCAGCCAGCTTATCTCCCAATGCAGCAATCCCATTTCTCCCAAAATCATCATCCACATAGATCGCGACGACATCTCTCCACTCGTAGTAGCCAACGAGTTCAGCTACCGCAGACATTTGAAAGGCATCACTCTGTGTTGTCCGCACAAAGTAAGGGAACTGAAGCGGCGCAAGAGTGGAGTCTGTGGCTGCAAATGACAGCAGAGGCACTTGCAGCTCATTTGCTATGTGGGAGATCACATGAGCCGTTACTGAAAACTGCGGCCCAATTATGGCCACGGTGTCGTTCTCCATAAATCGCAAAGCTGTAGAAAGAGCCACAAAGAAACAGAAAGACAATTAAATCAAGTTTGCAAAAAACTTGGTCAAAGAAATGCTACCTTTTTGGCTTGGCCTAATGGTAATTTCACACTCATTCAAATTCAAGGAAAATGCACTCGTTTTTTAGTATTGTCAACGTAAGCGCTGAGTGTTGTATCTCTACCTTCGACAATGCCAAGAAAATCGCTGGTTTTGGTGTCCTGCATTGCAACTTTGAGCACAGTTCCCTTGAGAATCGTCGAGTTGGAATTCACATCTTCTACTGCAGCAGTTATTGCAAGTTTTGCGATTTTTCCAATCATGGAATCAAAACAAATAAGGGCTCCAACTCTCACAACTTCAGGTCTTGTTGATACATTGTGACTAATCGCATCAGATAAAATCCCATTGCAGAAAACAATCAAGAGCAAAAGCCAAACTATGTTCATATTGGTGTTTATCACCCTGACTCTGCAAAAGGATCAAAAACAGACAGCCTAGTCAAAAAAATGTATTGAAAAAAATAATAATAAATAAATAAATAAAAGAAAAGGTTGAATAAGCCAATACATGCAAAAAGTGCAAGTATCCAAATATCTAACGAAATAAAGTATGTATGTAGTAAGGTGATGTAACAAAAATGAAAGACACATACGCAGCTTGCTTTGTGAAGAAAATGAAAGACACATACACAGCTTGCTTTGTGAAGCCAAGATATCTTCTCCTCAGCTGAAGGAGATTAACATATTTTTAATGAGTTGGAATAGGTCGTTTGAATCTAAATACTGTGATTATGGAAAAAGCATAAAAGAAACGTACCAGGAGAATAGTAGTTATTGACCACCTCAAGCCCAAAACTAGAAAAGAAACAAGACCGAATAAGTAGAAAAGGAAGAAGTAACTATATATAAGCACAAAACTCAAGTTATAAGGATTATCTAGAAAACCAACAGGTGTGAACCGGTTTACTGTATGTTGGAAATTTACAATAATAGGACAGAGTTTAGTTTGGTGGTGCTTAACACACCTGTCAATTTTTAGTTTGATATTTTCAAGATCCATTTACCTTTTATATCAGGAAAAATAGCACCCCATAGATCTCTAGATTCAGTCAGAGTAAAAGTGCATTTCATGGACCCCCTTAGAAGAAAAGGGTTTCCTTGTATAGCCAGAAAATTGTAAGTAATAGACGAGAAATTCTAGTTGCTTTGAACTTTGTGACTGTGGCCTCCATTTGGCTTTGACAAGCAATCAAAGAAAAGCATATTTAGTACCAACCTCTATCTATAATTTAGGAAAACTTCAGCAACATATGCAATATTATATGTCTTGTAAAATACTAACAAGAGTGCGTTTTAGGATCAGAATAGCAAGGTCAACAAGTTATAAATATGCCATTTTCATTGCAGAAAATTACCACTTATCATCAACTTAAGTGGTAATTTCCTAGAAAAAGATGGGGTGGGGTTAATGATGACAGTTGAACATAGTCTTAGCAATAGAGTTGTGCCTTGGATAAACAAACCACTATGTCAAAGTTGACTCAATCTAATGGCCACCCAGTGTTGCTGAATTCATACAAAACAATATCTATCTCCAAGGTCATCTTCTACTCGATGTCCATTACTCGTGATCATTTAATTTAATGCCCAAAAGTGGAGTGAAAACTAGAGTGTGAATGTTGTTGGACTTAATGATGAAAAAAAAGTGAGCATTATGATCAGCTTTGGCAAGAATCCTCCCTCCAACGTGTTTTGGCATAGGAGGCCATGCAATGTCCCTCAGAAGAAGAAGAAGAAGAAGAAGAGGTTAGCCATCAGACTTGAATACTCGAAGGGATTAAATTAAGGATTTTGAGCTTTTAGGTCAAAAAGAGGAAGCGCTTTTGCGTTTGGCGTTGGGAAACATGTGTGTGCGTGAGGCTTAGGCCGAGCTCATTCCTTTTAGGTTGTAACCAGCTTGCTTGACCCTTATTGGCCATTCACCAAAAGTTTCAGTTTTAATACCAATATTTTTAGCAACAAATCCAAAATATATATATATATATATATATATATATAT